TGCTCCCATTCCCCACCTTGCTACGATGGTAACAGCTGTCTGTGCCCAGAAGATGGTGCTAAGGTTGGATGAATAAAACAGTAATAGGCGCTTCAAGGATACAGAAGAAGGTACATAGATAAATATCCCCATTTTGCCTAGACAGAAACAAGAAAAATATTCTTTCTCTTTTTTAAAACCAATTATTGAGTCACACATGGCAACACTATGTATTGCCAAAAGTGGCCAGTTTGTGGTAGTAGGCTTTATTCAGAAAATCAGTGGGTGATGAAAATTTAGGAGATGCACTCATCATTTGTAAAACTGTAGATGAAAGTTTAAAAGATGATGTTATACCACTTTTTCTTCACTGCCCTCATCAGTGACTCCATCCCACCCTCCTGCTGTTCTCATAATTGATGTAGAAATAATTTCATGAGCCAAACAGGATGGTTTTATAGGTGTGTGTTTGGCATTAACTTTATTTCCTATTCACATACCAGATATTACTGCCTGCTCTTATGAAATAGTTTATTCCACCATAAATTTATGTTTTAATGATCACCACTTTTTTTTGGAATACATTAATCTGTCTAAAAATAGGTGACTAAATCATCTGTCATTCTGCTGTGAAACCCTTTAAAGTTTTCTTTGGGAAATAAATTAGAATGCCACATTGGTTTCCAAGCAGACATAAGCTGACGATGACTTTTTTGTACAACAGTTACTGATGAAAAGCTCACTGAGGTATTTGGATTTCTTCAGGGCTGTAAATCCAGGCATGTTACTATGTTATCTACTGGAAATTGGGGTAATGCAGGAGATGGGAAAGCATGGTGTGAAATCAACTGGTGACCCCAAATAATTTTCCATGGTGTTCATCAGACATGCACACTCTATATTACTGTCATCATTCCTAGCCTTTCCACTATGCTGTCTCAAGTTTGCACAAATTGTAAATGCTTTTAAATGATTAACTGGTGTGACATAATCGAATTACTTAGGGTTTTATTTACTGTGCTCCAAGTAATTCAATTATGACCTCGCATGGTGTTCAACAGACAATAATAAAGTTGCTACAAATCCAACTTTGCACTGGACAACTCCATTCGAGGATACCACCACCTCCAAATTAACAATTACAGAAACTGGTCTCAGTATCTTGCTCCAACAACAAGCATCACCCACCACAATAAAAACAGCAAGTAGAATCTTTTTACTTCTTTTGTGTTTCTGGTCTCAGCAAACTGCACTACAATCTACCAAACTGCCCAAGCCAGAAACCTCAAGCTCAGGCTGAATTCGCCTGAGGACATGAGGTGCAGGAGCAGACACTGCAAAGTCCGAAGGTACTCTTAATACCCTAATTTCTTTGAATCTATGCACTGTCTCATACTCACACCCATCACCTAATTCAGGAATCTCTCCAGGATCCTGCACCAGCCTCTTAGATCCCTCACTCTCCTCAGCCTGGCCAGAGTAACTGTTATAAAATATAAACTGGTACACACAAATCCTCTGCTAACAAACCTTTCATTCAGTACCTACTGATCCTGGGTAAAACTGAAATTGGTTGATGCTATATTAAAAATCCTCATGATGTGGTCCTTATTTTTTCTTACTGTTCCCTTTATTCACTCCATGCTCCAGAAACAAGACTAACTTGCAGTTCCCTGACTACACCATTCTACCCTTCTCCCTCTTACCTGCAGTCTCTTATATATTTTCCACTTTGCTTAGATGCTTCCAATCCAGTCCTGCAAATGCTCTGGCCTTCTCGGTTTTGTCCTTGGGACTTCAGCTTTGGACTCATTTTCTCCAAGAATCTTCCCTTTAAGGGCTGGTTAGGTTTCTCTGCAAATGACTCCCCATGCCCCTGTCCTTTTCCTCTGCTAACACCCTTCATTCGTTATCTTAAGAGTCACGCCCACTGAAAAGCTAAGAACCTTAAGGGTAAGGACGGCGATGAGTTTAGGGTCAGCACTACTCTGCTGTGGTTCCGTGGAGGCTGACTTACTTGGTGGTCTCTCTACCTTTTCTAATACACACTTTTTCAGTTCTGTGTATTTTCACTGAAAGGCTCACCAGAAAACTAAAATGGCAACGTCATAGCAGACATAAGGCACACAAATCTAAGATTTCATGACCACAAAGGACAATGCATTGTCCTTTAGCCATAGAGACACTGTCCCTGCAAACTGCAATCAAAAGGCATTTTGTTGCGAGGGAAAATAATCATCTGGCTTGTACAGAGTTATATGCATTGTTAGAGATTCTTTAGCATATTATGTTTGGAGGTTTTTCAAATTGTGTGCTAACACAGACCTGGAAGGTTCTGTGGATGAAGGAAAAGCTAAGCAGTAATGGCTACTATTTCCATTAAAAGTCAGAACTTGGGCACGATGAATATTTTCCCCTTAAGGCTCTGAGAGAGCATCTTTGTTGACTGCAGTATATCCCAAGAATTGACTCTGGTCCAGTCAAATGTAGACTGCTTTGTGCAGTGACCTGTGTATTAGAACACATGTATACTTTGCCAGAATTACATCCAATAACTTTTAAAGAACATACAAAACCATGCAGAGACGTTAAATAAGGGTTATCAGTCTGGGTGCAGTGGCTCACACCTATAATCTCAGCACTTTGAGAGGCTGAGGCAGGAGGGAGTCCAGGAGTTCCAGGTTACAGTGAGCTATGATGGCGCCACTGCACTCCAGCCTGGGCAACAAAGTAAGACCCTGGATCAAAAAATAAATGGTTATCTTTTGCTAACTAAATAAAATCTGACACTTTAAAACTTTTTTTTGTTTGTTTGTTTCAGGGACTCAGAATCATGAACCACACAGTTTGCAGACAGATCTGATTTTTACATGTTTTTGTGTGTGTGGCTTTAAGTAATTTCAGTCAACTAAGCCTACTAATATTGCATACTTTTTCTTTTATGAAAGGGAAAAAGGGAGTATAAAGCAGGCAATCACTGATTCATTGTAAACATTTTTTTATCCAGACGATCATTCTCAGGTCACATATAACCTTTTTTCCATGACATCTTTGCTTATGGCCATGCTTGATCTTTATTTTCATAAGTTATTAGGCCAGCAAATACTCTAGCTAAGGTATAAAAATTTACACAGGTCCAGTGTATGTTTTCTTCTCTCCTTTTCCCTTTCAAATATAGCTCGACCATTTTTTTCTTTTTTTGAGACAATCTTGCTCTGTCTCCCAGGCTACAGTGCAGCAGTGTGACCACAGCTAGCTGCAGCCTCCACCTCCCAGGCTCATGAGCTCCTCCTATCTTGGCACCATGAGTAGCTGGGACTACAGGCACACACTATCACATCTGACTATTAAAAAGAGAGAGAGGAGAGAGAGAGAGAGAGAGAGAGAGAGAGAGAGAGAGAGAGAGAGAGAGAGAGATCTATGTTGCCCAGGCTGGTCTTAAACTCCTGAACTCAAGTGGTCCTCCCACCGGCCTCCCAAAGTGCTGGGATTATAGGAATGAGCCATCACACATGGCTCTCTACCACTTTAAATCTCTTCAATTCTAGATCATGCTCATGTAAGTGTTTTCCTAAAGTTTATACATTGTAATGGATGAATCAACAACACAAAAATAAATGTGTATCATGTTGGATTAATCTAAGAACTAAGTATTTTTTATCAGTAAAGAAGGAAAATGCTAGAAGTGTTGGGGAAGCAGGTGCAATTTCAGAGAGGAGGACCTTTACAGCCAAGAAGTTGTTCTTTAGGAACTGAAGAAACATAGGGCATAGGTGATACAAAGATCGGGGTGAAACCCTCTTCAAGTAGAAGGAATGGTGAGTGCAAAGGGCCTGCAGCAGGTGGGTGGGTGCAGGCATGTGCCAAACACGGAGGCGGCTGTTTGGCAGTGAGTTGTGAGACAGAGGAAGGGAGAGCTCACCAGGGATGGTGCCTGTGGGCCTTACAGGCCGTTGTGAAGGTCATTGGTGTTTGTGCCAAGCGAGCTGGAAAGCCAGCTGCTGGAGGTTTCCAAGAAGAGGAGAGATATCCTCTGATGCACAGCATGGCTCTGGCTAGTGTGATGAGATATGGTGAAAGGGTGTGAGGGCCAGAGAAGGGAGACTAAGCCAGAGGCTGACGTACTTATCTAGGTGAGAAAGGATGCCGGTTCCAGCTGGGGTAGTAGTCGTGGGAGAGGTGAGAAGAGGCCGGTGCAGAAGCACAAGCTCAGATTTAGACATGGTGATTTGAGAGGTCCTTTCTTCCAAGCAGGTATATAAATAGGCAAACAAGATACAATTGTTTGGGGAGCTGGGATATGATATATATAATTTAGTCTTTCTCACAAATTCAATTTCAATGGCAACTGGATATAAGAGAAAACAAAGGAAGTTTACACATTAAATTTATTGTAAACATTTTCATTGTTTTCTTGAAAACCAGTATTGATTTTTGGATGGTGTAAGGCTTACTAGAATGTTGCCACATAACTCCACTTAAATATCATTAATTTGGAGGCTAACATTTTTAAAGGCTGTGAATGAGCAGAAATTGATCTGAAACTTGCGTTTGGTTTACACGTGAACAACAGATTCACAAATAAATAAATACTATACACCAGGCAATAAAGGAGCTATAAAATCTATTACAGAAAACTACCTTTTTTTCCTCTTGGAAGGTACTTATAAACTACGTCCCATATTCACCTAGAGGATACTTGCTTTAAATATTCTAATAGGTCTAAATATTTTAATTACTTTATCATTAGTGAATGGTGGCTACATTATGCATTATACTTATTTGAATGTAGCTATCTGTGTGTAAAAAATTCTGCAGCTGACAACTTTTCAGTAAAGCAGCCCACTTTTAGTCGTAATTAGTGATGTTTTACTGGGTTACATCTCATTTTGCTTTAACTGAAAATTATGCAACTTAGGCATAAAAAAGAAAAGTTACGAAGACCAGAAACCTAAATACAAATTTCACATGATTTAGAGCTAAGCTAAATAAACACACAAAAACTCTACAACATGGGAGGGTGAAGGAAATGAAAACAATTGCAAAGGTATTTATTGAGAAATAGTAAAGATATACATATTTTTACAAGCTTTTAATATTAATTTACATTTCTTTAAATTATGTAGGCCCCGATAATCTATACTTTACTAATACATAACAGAAACCCTTGACATTGTGAGATGTCCATAACGCTACCGTAGTTGGGAGTCAAAATGCAACTTTGGCTCATGATGCTTAAGTTTGTTTTCAAAAGAAATACTAAATGCCATATTCACTGAGAATGTAGGCTTGTCATAAACAAATGTGCTTTAAAAAACAACTTCATACAGGAGCATGCTGTTGACACTATTCTGAATCTTAGCTCATCGCAGACTAAGGAGAAAACATTTTTAGAGACAGTTATTACCTACTTGTTGTGTGCAAACTGTATGATTCTAAAATATGTTTTTGCCTCTGAATTTGATTTACAAAATTTTGCAGGGGCATAGTGTTCTAATTGTATGCTATAATACTGTAGCCAGGCCACCTATTTTGTTACTGAAATTACGTGGTCTTGATATTTTTAAGGTGCAACACAAGATGGTTATCTTTTGTAGTAATATACCAAGCTGTATACATAAGAGCCGAAAACCCACTTTAGTTACAGAACATTTTTCAAACTGGTTTACAATAAGGCACAATAGTCCATATGTCAATAGGAGGTGGGAATTGCCAAGGGGTTCGTTTTGTGTTTGTTAGTTCAGTTTTCGTTTTTCAGATTAGAAAGGAGGAGGATTTTCTGTTCCTAAGGTGGGAAGGGAAGGGTTCTACTTTGTGCATGCTCAACGTCCCATGGCCAAGCTGTGATGCTGGCTTGTGGGTCTGCACCATTGTTGTGCCAGACAAGCTGTTCTCCGTCAACCTAGCATTTAGGTTTTATGCCGGCAGCCTCTTCTGAACACAGAATCAGAAAAAGAGATGTGTGTGAGAAACTGCACAGGGTGATGCAACCAGCCAGCTTCTCTTTGCCCTTCCAAGGGGTGTTTCTTTCTGCACCTGCAGACTTAGCAGCATAAAAAGCCTTGCTTGTTTGATATGAAAAGACTTACAAATTTATACCTAATGTCACAATTCTATCATTTAATGAAACCAGCTATACAGTAAAGATAATTTGTTTTTATTCACAGTAATAAATACTTAAGGTTTTAGTGCACAACATAATTAAGTACTGATAATCAAGGCAACACTTAAATTTTTTTAACTGCTATTTTCAATCTAAAGGCCAACAGAAGTATAAGATTTACTATCATTATTTTTATATTATTAAACGTATTCCAACTTTAATTTGCCTGGAATAGTACTTGGGGCAGAGGCAGCCAAAAACTACAAAATTTAAAGGGTAAGTTTAAGGTTTAGATGATGAAATCACAATCTTGTACAAAATTCGGATCTCAATATCTTTCTGCCCAGTATAAACATGGCCTTAGCATTCAGTAAAGAAATACAGGTTTGTAGCCCAAAGAAATGAAATCTATTTCCACAGTGAATGTTGTAATCTGTGAGCAAAATGTAGACTTTATTGAAGCCACAGAGGCCTCAGTTGATGAACTCATGAACCAGCCTCTGGCTAGGGGCACTGACTAGTAGCCTGACTCTAGCATCCACATTATGACATTTTAAACACAGAACTGCAGGTGCAGACACCATAAAAATATTCTAGTTCTTAAAGTCTTAAATTTCCACAAGGGAAATCATGTCACAGGAAGTAAGAGGAGAACCTGTATCGTGTTCCCAACATGGGCTACACACAGGGGAAAAAACCATGCAAACACAACGATGACGGGCTCTTCTTGTAATGAATGCCATCCATTGCGCAGTAACAATACAGGCAGAAACTAACATATGCAAGTCTGTCATGAGGAGAACCTACACTGATGTATTCAGATGGAGAACCAGGTACTATTTTACTATTGTCATTTCAGTAACGCTGCCAAGATCCAACTCACTTGCTGATTTAATTTATGATGATATTCTAGGTAACATTTTCATAAACTCATTGCTTTCATCAGACACCATCTGGGAGATCTGCCTTCCATTACTGATGATATTATCATTTTTGCAATGGCACTGGGAATAAACACACTTAGCTTTATTTTAAGCCATGCCCACTCAATGTGAATTTTACACCATGTCCATGGCATATTCTAAAAAAGTTAATGTGATAATTGCTCATGATTTGCATGATAATGTCCTCCTCTATGCAACTTACACATATCAAAAGTCTCAACCTCAAAACTGTGCAGGTTGTCATGAATATGGCTCTTAGTTTTCTCCAGTAAAACTGTAGAAGGGGCACTTGAGACTTCTACATACATTTCACTTTCTAAGTCAAGGTCCCACAGTCTTTCCCAAACTTTCTGCTTATGGTTGGATGCGCAAATAGTTGCCTCATACAATTATTGGAATTATTAAGAACCCAAATACAACACAAGCTTTCCTTTATTGTTGTTGTTTTCTTATTGCAACAAATACTCAGTTTCTTGCTGATGCGGTAATTAAGCTTTGAGAGCTTGACTTTTAAATTTGGTCATGTTAAGAATCATCACAAAGGATTTTTTTTCATTATCTACAGAGATTTCAACCAAAGTTACATTGTAACACACAAATGCTGTCTTGTCTTTAAGGCACAACACATCAGTATGAACATTCTGTTTGCCAAACTTAAAAAAGAGACAATATTATATTCCCATTTCCCCTCCCACTCCCCTCCCAGACAAATGAAAGAAAAATTGCATCCACTTTGAAAGTCAGCTGCTAATAAAGTCACAGTAAATTATTTTCATCAATAATTTACACAAATTACAGGTCTAAATAGGACTGTCCTTATATAGTCTGAGTGCATTCCAATTCAGATTTTCTGGGCTAGGTAGGCTAAAGTCAGATTCAAACCTCAGGGCTGAGAAGATCTCCCAATTTGAGGAATGTTGTTGACCACCTTGTCAGACGGAGCATGTGTGTTGCTGCTTTGCCAGGGTAAGAGTTCTTTGCTAAAGCTGCTCATTCCAGTTTGGACTCATTTGGTGTGTACCAGCAACCTCCACAGATTTTTTAAAAACCCATTAAAGTGTTGTAAATATAAGACCATAGAGTTTCTTTTCTGTAGCACTAAAGTTTAACTCCATTCAGCAATCTGAATTCTTCATTCTGGAATTTTTATTCCAAATATGATTTCATCCATTAAGACAATTTATATGTGTAGAGCCAGAGGCATTGAATCACACATAAAAATTCAGTGTACTTGAAATATAAAAAACGGATCTCCGGCTAGAGAACACAGTTACAAATACTCTAATTCCAGTGCTTGGTGGAGAGCCAGGAGGTCTGAGTGACTGGATATCCTCCAGAAGGGCATGTTGTGCTGCATGGTTAGGAGAAGGAGGGGTGGGAGAGAGAAGGGGAAGGAATGAGGCATGGAGAGAGATCACAACCATTGTCTCAATTAAGCAGCAGCACACACAGGGCTGTGTGGCCCACCCACGTTCAGGGGAGGGAGTCTAAAGGCGGGATGATCATACGTGAAGGCTTGGCAGCACCAATATGGCATTGTCAAAGTAACAGAGAAATAGATCTGAACTGGATTTTAATGAGAATAATAGCAAATATTAACATTGCTTAGATAGTTTAACATTTATTCTGGAAGTATCACTACCAACATCGACATCTGGGAAAACAAGTGGGTATCACAATCCTACCTGGCTGATGGAAAGCAAGTTTGAATCAGTGCATCTCTCCTACAGGCCTCTCTCTCAGTCAAAAATAAAATAAAACAAAATGATAAGCTTCTTAATTTTGTTAATCTAGGAAGAAAAGAGGGTGAATTCCTTTCTGTATAAAAATAATTTGAAGCAGGACTATATAAAGTAGAAAAAATGTGGGGATTATAACTTTCTTACTTGTCTGGGACAACCGATAACTTAAGCCAGTCGAGTCGACCTGGTTTATTTCACTGGCGTAGAATTGACAGAAAGTATCTAGCATACATTTTCAATGGGGAAGATATCATCCCCAAGGGGACAAAAATGAGTTCTTGTGGGGCAGAAAATCTTAGACATTACAATGGTTTGTGCCCTCCAAAGATATACTATAATAGTATACAGTACATATGTGGCATTAAAATTTCATGAAAGTGAGTAATTAGAAAAAAATTGTCTAAAGAGTCCCCACTGGCGATGATAACGAAAAAGAAAAAACACTGCACTACAGGAACTGACAAAACAAAAGCATGATTTGTAAGTTTGGGCTGATGACAACTTCTAGAATATGCACATATAAAATATTCATGTATATAAGGGAAATCAATATACAGATATAAAACATGCAAATGATATTTTATGTAAGAACTAAGTAGCATAATAATCCTTAATGCTATATAATTCCTTGCTGCACACTACAGTAACCACCAGCCACATTTGGCTGTGGAGCACTTGAAATGTGGTTAGTACAGTTTAAAATACATAATGCATTTCAAAGACTTAGAACAAAACAAACAAACAAAGAGAAGGTAAACATGACTTCAACAATTTTTACATTAATTAGATATCAAGACAATTATTTTGGATATACTGGGTTGACATGTTATTAAAATTAATTCTACCTGTTTCTCTTTAATTTTTTAAAATGTGGCTTCTAGAAAATTTCAAACTACATATACAGCTTGTATTAATATTATATGTTTCTGCAGAAGAGCGCAGACATTCCTATTCCTACACTTTGATATTTCTTCTTAAATTTCTCAAACAAAGTATGTCTAGGTCAAATTAAGGCACAGAAATTCACATAGAAGTAACTTTGTTTTCATTCAGCTCAGATCTATTTGTAACAACAAAACAGTACTTAACATTTCTGCACATGCGATTACTGCTACATCCAAAGAAAAGCATGCATTCTGGGTACTAGAGAAACCAACCACCTCTGCTTTAAAATAGAATAATAAGCCTTCACCATCACCAAAACTGTACGTACATCAACAACCATTTGGAAATAGCATTCTATCTGATATTCTTTTCCATTCAGGGTCATGCCTTTCCCTCCTGAAGTTTTAGGTATAAAGAAGATGGTATAACAACTAGGGAAACCAAATCTAAACATTAATGCTGTGGAAAACAGGTCGACTGGGTTAAGTTTTAATTGTCAAAAGCATACAGTGTTACTGGTTTGGAAAATTGAATTATATTAGTCCTTACCTACATATACGTGAATTTAATTTGTATAGGCTAAAAGACACGTACATTGAGCAGGAGTGGGGCTGTATTACTAATCACTGGCTGCTCTTTGTTGTGTATAACTATGGTGTCAATAAGAAACATCACAACATGGACTGAGGACATTGACAAACTCCAGAAGATATTTCAGTTGAGTGTGACTGGAAGCATTTCAAGTAGTAGTCAGCAATGAAAGCTGTATTTCTTGAGGCTGCAGCCCTGACTTCATACAGGACGTGCTTGGGGCCAGTGTGCTGTCTTGGGTCATTGACACTGCTAATGAAGGCTGAGGTGTTCCGTGGGAGGCAGAGCCTGAACTCACTCTCTTAAATGTAATCGAAAAGCATGGAGATTTTCAAGTATGGCTGCCAATACTGTCACCAAACCTTCTAAAGTGGAAGTGCTTTCCTTTTCTTCATTTTGCTTGATTTAAATTGACCAGAAAAATACATCAATTCCTTTCTCTTTCTCTTATAGCCATAAACTTTTCTACAAAACTGTCTGACTGCTTTTTGAAAACAGGTAAACACTCCAGCACATGCAAGCGGCGAAGCCTTTATTAGATGATGATTTAAAATCTCCTTAGGGTGATACAGAAAACATTCTTTCTATGTAAAACAGTATAAGCTGGTATATCATTGTTTAGAAATACTAATTCATCATTTGGCTTTGTTTTGTAAATTCTATCACTTTTATCTTGGCTAGATGGTATTTTTCTATCATTCAGTGAAGGCAGCAGTAGACCTTAGGGTAGAGTTGACCAACAGTCTGGTGTTGGGGGCCAATCCTGATATCACTCTTCTTTTGATGTTGAACCAACCATTTAACGTTTTTTAATTGCCTTGGTTTCTTCTTCAGAAATATGGGACAGATGAAAAGGCTTATTAAAATACTGAGGGCCTATGGGATTTTCTGAATGTGTTCAAAGCCTTGCTTGGCTTCAGTCAAGTACCACTGGCTCACTAGAACAGATGAAACTCTTCCAGGAGATGTGAAGCACATTACGGCTAAGACAAGTTGGTACAAAAGGATCTGAGCAATACATCCCCATTTCGGTAGCGCTTATTAAAATCTCTTGTAGTAGTTTTTCTTCAGCTATTAAATCTGTCCTCAGCATTCCTTATCATAGAGCATGCCTACTTCCAGGCACTCACGAGGACCATATGGCATGCAGGTCTCATGAACTACTCACATGACTTTTGTATGGAGCTCCTTAATCTTTATCTTGCTATATTTCATGTGCTTAACAATAGTTATTCTCCCCCCATCTTTCTTGCAGATCCCCTGGCTCATTTATATCTGTGCACATTGTATGTGTTTTAACATATACAGATGCATCTATGTAAGCATGTATACATATGCCCACACAAATATATATATTACTATATATATTTACTCTGTGTACATACATTCAAACATATAAATATAACTTACTTTCCCTGCATTTCCTATCAAATTTCAGGCAAAAAATGCTAAACTCCAAATGGTTTATTTGAATGTAAGTATTGACCCTCTCATGCTCTTATGGTTTTGCATCTATAAATTTAAATCATTTGTCAAGCTGCCATTGGGCCAAACTACGGAAATGCAAACAAAAAGGCTTGCATTAGAAGTATCACACCAACATTGTTTGAGACAGGTTACCTTTTTTGCTGCCTGTTCTTCTTCTACACCATCCCCAATTACAACATACACTACTTTTCTGCCAAACCTTTGCATTATTCGTTCAAAGCAACTTTCTTTTCCTGGAAGATAAACGAGATAAAGTTCAGAGTGAAGTTACCTGGTTAGCGGCATGCTCCTCATCTCGGCCATCTCCAATCACAACATAAGTTATGTTAGTGCCAAATCTGGACACTATACGCTCAAAACAGCTTTCCTTGCCTGAAAAACAATGCACTGCTTATTCTTCCAGCCACTGCATTCATTAACCTAAAGATTCATAAAGTGTTAAGTTAATGCCTCTTGAACATCACTTAAACTGGCTCACAACCTCTGGGTTTATGCAATCAACACATATTTGAATAACGTTAAGGCATTACTTAGGACAGATGATTAAACCAATGTGTTTCACACTCCAAAAATATCAGTAGGGTTAAGCATTTGACCTAGAGAAAATATTAGTATGCTTTTCTCCACCAACAGAGTATTGGGGAAACTTTACAGGCAACTCTAAGTTTTAACAACCTTTGTTTGTTTAATTCTGTAAATCAATTTTAGGTAGCATAGATAAGTCAGCTAAATGTGTTCTAGAGAAAAACTGAAGGTTTACTGCTAAGAAAAGAGGAAATACTAAGAAGTGAATTTACCTTGATAAACAACTCCTTTCTTCAAGTGGATGACAGTTAGCCTGCTCAAATAACTTCTACTAAGGGTGCAGTCTGACTGGGCCACAGTACTGACAACACTGGTGTCCTCTGATTGCACTACGGGAACATCACCATGGAATTTCTACATATTCTTTGTTTTTAAAACATTGGCATTATTCTCTAAATTTCACTCCAGAATGTTCATGCAGCCATGGCTACTTCTGCCTTTTTTCTTAATCTGATGGTTCAGAACTCCAAAAAACACTAGCTTACAGGAAAAAATAAAAATGATTTTTTTTTTTCAGATTAAAGAATATAAGGAACTATTTGGCCAACAGAAAGAATATGTCTTTACTGAAATAAATGTTTATTCTGCTATAAAATCATCAAAAAGCAAAATTGTCTTCTTTCTATTAGTCCTGCTGACATAAATACACACATTTAGATTAAAAATGTATGGTACTGATATCCAGGCTCTGAACTGCAGTGCTTATGACAATGTGAAATTTACTCTACGGAAGCTTGGCTCTCCTTAACTGTACTCTTGAAACAGCTGCAACTGGAGGCTCCTTTTGCCAGGGCCAACATCAGACCTCCTCAAAGCCCAGGGCAGGTTATTTTTGGTGGGGGATTTTAGGATTTTGAACTTCTCTTGTCAATGTGCCAGAGCCTAAGTTTGTTGCCCTTCAAGGCATATTACACAACCCATTTATTTTCCCAAGTATTTCCTTGACAGACAATGGAATACATCAGTTTTCTTTGAAGTCTTTCAATACAGCAGAAGTTGATGAAGTTTTACTTTTGAATGTTCATTAGAAGTTGGAGTCTGTGAGAAATGCACTTAAAAATCAAAGATGGCTCCACAAACAGATATTATCTAAACAAACAAGGTTGTGGCTCTTTGATTGCTACTGCACATTTTTGGAAATTTAGATTTCCAGTCACTCATGTGTTATAAATATTCCTATTATGTTTTCTGATTCATAAAATTCTTTTAAATTTTTTCTGTAATTAAAGGCACTAGTTCAATCCATCAAAGAATCCCCTGCAAAGCCAAAATAGTATTTTTATCTTGGATCTAGATTACTGCATATGCAAGGATGCAACATTATACTCTATACTAATTAAACTATTAAACACTATGGCTAGAGATATTACATATTATTTAGCTAACATGTGTTGTAATATTCTGTGAAATACAAGAATGAAATATCTATACTCAGATACTGAGTTCTTAATGTCACTAGACAACAGTTCTCAAAATATTCATACATGTACAATGAGTTGCAGGGACTTTGTAATTTGAACTTTACCCAAATTTGTTTCATATACTAAGTGAAATTGCTGAAAAAGGGAACCATGCAGAGACACACAGATGTGGACACATTCCATACAGAGTTCAAAATAATTTCCTTACCTATTTTAGTTGCACTGTAAATATTCTCAATGGGGAAAGCACCTCCTAAACTATAGAGTAGAACCTTCGCAAGTGCTGGGATCAGCTGGGTTGTCGTTACCAAGACATTTACGCAGTTACTCCTAAAATAGGGAGGAAATATACACATTTGTTTTCTATTACTAAATAACTTCTAATAGATTTAAAATGGTCACTGTGGTCTCTAAATTCCTTAATTAATGGTCCCTTTCAGTATTCATTAGCTATTGCCTATCAGCAGACAGACACTCCTCAAATAATGGCAGATTATTAAGAAGAATACACAAACCCATGACTATACTGTGATGCTTAAAGTTCTACAAAATATTTTGTCAAAACAATATGCTATTAAAAGTCATACGTAGGTAAGTGTTACAGAATGAAAATATGGTAGAATGAAATAAAGCTCAGGCTTTTTAAGTTTAGAGATGTGGTTTTGATATGAACTTTCATGACTTGCACTGTGTGATATTCAGAGTTACATTTCTTTTTAAATTATAAACACTGTATATACTTGTAACAGAAAAATTTGTGAAAGACAAATAGAAAGAAGAAAACAAAAAGCATTAATTATTATGTAACCATCCAGAGATAACTGCTCTCTCCATTTCATGCATTTACTTTCAGTGTTTCTGTTCACATATAGATTTTGTTTTCCCATTGGGAACATTCTATATATTCAATTTTGTATTCTACTTTATGTATTTATATCATGAGCCTATTTGTTTATATCTATTAACTATTACTTCCCCCCTCCCAACAAAACAATGTATAAAAACTACTCTACCATGTAGATGCACCAGCATTTCTTAAAGTTAAATTCAGTTGCTTAAGTGGCTTTTGATTTCTAAATATTATAAGTAATGCTACCTAAATATATTCTTACATCTTTGATTATTCTTAGACTATATTCGTAGAATAATTAGGGTCAGAGGGTAAGTTAATTTTGCTAGGGGTTCTAATACATAATTCAGCAAAGCATCTGTTTTTCTGACATTCCAGGCATTTTGTGAAAACTATTGGGTTGGTGCAAAAGCAATTTTGTTTTTTGCCATTAAAAGAAATGGCAAAACTGCAACTATATCAATATGGTAATACATGTGGATAACTCAGCAAATTCCATAACAACTATTCAATGTATGTTGATTTTTCTCCTCCCTTCCTTGTTATATCTTTATTTATTTCTGGAATATCACATATTCCTTTAGTTGCCTTAAAGCCATCTGTTTAATAATTAATCTGTATATATTATATAGTATATATAATCTAATAATGTAATAATCTTTTTTAACTTATAGAGAAGACATCTTTTAGAAATAATGAAAGTTATCAACCTCCTTCTCAGAGAAATGCACACTCCACAACATTTTACACATCATGTCAGTGCTCAGGGGTCCTCACACTCCAGTGTCCTTGACATTTGGTCTCTCTTGTCAACAATTACAGGGGACATGAGATAGCAAGTCCATTTCAAATGGCCTTAACTGTTAGACATTTCTTCCTTATATAGAGCCAGAATCTCCCTTGCAGGATTCCTACTCATTGGTCCCAGTTCTTTCCTTTCCAGACACAGGGAGAAATCTAATTGATTTTCAGCCTAATATCTGAAACAGTTGAAATTGGTAATCTTGTTCCACACATGACTCTTCTGACTAAGCTCTCTGGCTCCTCCTTCCATCTGTTTCTTTTATGTGGTTCCCACAGCCCAAACCCCTGTGACTACCATACTTGACACAGGCTGCTTCAACCCTGTCACAGCCCCCACTGGAATATGGTGCCTAGAACCGACAAACGAAGCTGCCATGGCTTCCCCAATCAGACACAGGAAGCTACTTCCCCTCCGCTCTCCATTTGGACTTTCTGCTATCCATGCAGCTCCGCCCGTGCCACGGGTCAGAAGCTGTGCAGGATGTGACAACTATTCATTTACTTCCATGTTCTTAATATTAACTTTTTTTTTTTTTCCTGCCCTGTCAGGCTTTTCTTCATTCTGATTCAATTAGTCCAAATAAATCTTTCTCTGAACGCTGTGTTCCCCATACATTTATTAAGCATGCTTTTTTTCTTCTTTTTTTAAAACTAGCAATTTGTCATCTTATTCATTCGTCTTTTCTTTTTTAACTTCTATTTTAAGTTCAGGGGTACAAGGGCAGGTTGGTTATACAGGTTAACTTGTGTCATGCGGACTTGTTGTACAGATTATTTCATCATCCAGGTATTAGCCTAATACCCATTTTTTTTTCCTGATCCTCTCCCTCCTTCCATTTTCCATCCTCTGAAAGGCCGCTGTGTGTGTTGTTCCCCTCTATGTGTCCACATGGTCTCATCATTTAGCTCTCACTTATAAGTGAGAACATGCGGCATTTGGTGGGAGTGTGAATTAGTTCAGCCATTGTGGAAGGCAATGTGGTGATTCCTCAAAGACCTAAAGACAAAACTACTATTTAACCCAGCAATCCCAGTACTGGGTATATACCCAAAGGAATATAAATCATTTTATTTATAAAGACACATGCACACACATGTTCACCGCAGCACTATTCACAATAGCAAAGACATGGAATCAACCTAAATGACCATCAATGATAGCCTGGATAAAGGAAATGTGGTACATATACACCACGGAATACTATGCAGCCATAAAGAAGAATGAGATCATGTCCTTTGCCAGGACATGGATGGAGTTGGAGGCCATTATCCTTAACAAACTAACACAGGAACAGAAAAACAAATACTGCATGTTCTCATTAATCTTTTCTTTTCTTTATTTGAGGCAGAATCTTGTTCTGTCTCCAGGCTGGAGTACAGTGGCATGATCTTGGCTTACTGCAACCTCCGCCTCCCAGGTTCAAGCGAGTCTCCTGCCTCAGCCTCCTGAGTAGCTGGGACTACAGGTGTGTGCCACCATGCCGAGCTAATTTTTTTTTTTTTTTTTTTTTTTTTTTTAGTAGAGACAGTTTCACCATGTTGGCTAAGATGATCTCGATCTCCTGACCTCGTGATCTGCCCGCCTCGGCCTCCCAAAGTGCACACAGGCGTAAGCCACCGTGCCTGGCCCATTAATCTTTTCTTAATGGAAATGCTGACAGATTCTTTTTTTAGCTTTTATTTTAGGTTCAGGGATACAGGTGCATGTTTGCTATATAGGTAAACTTACCTCACAGGGGTTTGCTATATAGATTATTTCATCACTCAGGTACTAAGTCTAGTACCTAACAGTTACTCTTTCTGATCCTTTCCCTCCTCCTACCCTTCACCCTTAAGTAGGCCCCAGTGTCTGTTGTTTCCCTATATGTGTCCATGAGTTCTCATCATTTAGCTCCCACTTATTAAGCATGCTTTTATTTATTCACCTAACTCAGATACAAAATCACGGAAGCAGACAGTACAGAGATTCAACTCTACCTTACCAGCTATCATGTTTCAGACTTACATCACTTTATGAATTAGCATATATGGCACCTGGTTGTACAACTGGTTACAAATCGATTTAATTCTGCTCTCTATATTGACACAAGTCAGAATCTCACTGTTTAGTTCAAACAACAAAATGGTTAGAATTTTTTCAAGAGCTTTCTCTTGCTTTTCTGATGTGCTCACATTATGTGTATTATCCATTATGGCCTAACACCTAAAACATGCATTTTTTGTGTAAACAGTACTGTTTTATATTTGCCATCACCCCCTTGTACTTTGCCACCTACTGAGTTCTGTTTCTTTTTTCATTAGAAGTCATGTAACCATTCTGTGGGGATTATCAGTTGCTATGAGAAGAGATGGGTGGTGAGATAGGGTCTCCTATTTATCCTGAGAAGTAGCAACCTTCTCTCATCCCAAAACACACACACTCTCTCTCTCTCTCTCCCCCACCCCCCGCTCTCTCATGCACATGCACTGAAACTGAAAAATCACTGAACTCAGAATTGGTAGGTACTTTAAAGTCTAAAACAGTCTAGGAATTAAAACATTTTTTATCTATGTTGTACAATCAGAACTAAATCTTCAAAACGATAAACATAGAAAGGTAACAATTCCACTTACCTAGTGCTAATAATTGATAAAGACTTAAGTGCATTTGTTAGCCAGGAATCTGTCAGACCTTCAATCTCTGCCCTTAACTGTAGCCAGGCATCCCTCTTGGCAGGGCCAAGGAGTCCTGCAACACCAAAAAGCAAGGCAGAGTTGAGAGATGAATATTTTCTCAGAATATCTAGTTTAGATTCCCTTCTGTCTGGAGTAGATCATTTTTATTTCAGTATATATTAGAAATGCAGAGAGATACAGATTTATGTCCATATTGATCCTTCATTTCTGAATTGATTATCCATTCATTCCTTCAATGAATATTTACTGAACTTCTAGGTCTCAGGTAGTGCCAATGAAAAGTGGCCCCAGTCTCTGCCCTCACTGATCCTAGAATCTGGTGCAGTGGATCTCACCTAAAGAGCTTTGAACATGCCTCTGCCTGGATCTCATTCCAAGGGACTGTGATATTTGAGGTCTGGAGGAATAGTTGGGTTCCACCAACCTAGGGACACAAACCCCAAATGCTTTGACTGTCTGGAAAACATTTAGCGTCTTAATAATCACAATTATTCCCACTTTCAAACAGTAACAATGGCATCATCATATGTAGCTGTTAAAATGTGTCTAATACTACTGCTAATGCTACTATAAATACTTTGTACTGTAAGAAGAAATTAATTTTCTTTAAAATCATAAAGTGTAGGACAGTTATAGACAATAGTGAATTACAACATTGATGTTGTAAGAAAAAAGATAGATGTGCTAATTTTTTATTTTAAAAGATCCAGTTCTTGCTTTTATGATAAAACGAGATCATGTAAATCCATTAAAAAGGAAGGTTTCTTATTGAAATTGTGTTTTAGAATGTCAGGAGCACATATACACTCGTATGGTTTTATTTTTCAATCAAAATTTATAGTTTCTAGCAAGTGTCATTTGTCCTCATTATAATAAAGAGATGCTCATGTATGACAGAAGACTCGCGGTTGTTTAAAGTTTCTAAGATACAAGATTATTTCTTAGTGTTCTTGTTAACTTAAAATAATTTTATTAATACACCGCAAGAAGGAAATTATGACATCTGAATGATAAAAATTAACTCAGGTTTCTCAAGGGGATATTTATTTTAAAGCTAAATGTATTATCTACCATTGATTTTTAACTAGAAAATCTACTTATTTGATTTTACAAAGGCATCATGTACAGAGCACTAGAGTGAGTCAGGAAATCAGGGTTTCTCCCCAGAACCCCATGCAAGTGAGTAGCTTGAAGGGTCAGTTTCTTATTTGGAAATTTATGTCTTCCATATCTAAGCTCCCTTTTGGGGAGCTTATTATCCTCTTTGGCTCTACATCTTTTGTTCTCTGGGAGTTACTATGTATCCACTGAGCATCTCTTATGTGTTTCACTGCTAGGCACTGGGGATACAAGGTGACCAGACACACAACCCCACCCTCATGATGTATATGGATAGATGTGATTATATACTATATATGAACATTTTATTTACTACATTGTATTCTATGACATATATGTGAATATATGTATATATAGTGTGCACAAGTATATTTAGTTGTATCATTCTGTTTTGGATTCCAGTTTATGTTCCTCAGTTATTCTTCCTTTTTAGAAAAAAAGAGAAGCATATAAAGAAACAAAATCCTGGGAGATTAATCTGATGTGACCTAATAGCAAATTTTAGGAATCTTGTTTACCTAAAATTGATTCTAATAAGATATCATCAAAGTTTATTTTATATATAAAAGCACATCCAGGATCACAGTTTTGATATCAAAGGTTTTGCTATCACCTGTAAAATATGCGAAGGGGCATAAAATGGTTTTGATATTACCTATAGATTATCTGAACTTTTAAAAACTATGATAGTCATACTTGACACTATGCATGAGAAAGATACACTGTCATAAAACATTATTTTTTTAAAAGATAAAATAAACCTGTTGAAAGTCTTTGAAATGACATGAGTAACTGTTTACATTTATTTTTGATGGGATTCCGGAAATATAATGCTTGCTAACAACCCTCCTTCAACGACTGAGGCTCTCTTCTTGAGAAAGGTCTTCTTCCCGCTGCCTCGGTCAGCTCCTCTGTCTGGTTTTCACTGATAATGCACCAAGCACCAGCTGATAAAGGGTAAACTAAATGCCCTGCTATACATCTTGACCAAACATCTGGGCACAAGGTTACACAAAGAATTCCCGATTCATGTGACAGTGGTGCATGTGTTATTTTGTAGTAAAACTTTTTCCCACCAATTCTAAGGAACTTCTGGCTCAATGTGGTTTAATATGAGCTTTTGTTTGTTTCTTTTACAGCAGAATCGTCTTTAACATGAAACTACAGTTTGAATTCTACCTATACCCCGAGTGCCTTTGTTAGATTTAAAAAGCCACACATACCTCCAACATTGTTCTTGTAGGTGTTATATAATTCTTTTACTCTTCTGTAACGAAAAGCCAACTTCCTCATCCAGTCAACCCCTCCTCTTACACCTGTTGGCAAACAAAGGTTTGCACTACTTGCAGCTGCATGGAAGCCATCAGTTGCAAAACTGTAGGTACTGTAACACCCAAAATACATTAAAAAGAAATAATTACATGTGCAAAACTCCATAGCCGAATTTCTGTAGGAAACAGCATACTGAAAGGCATAGCTTACCTTAAATCCTGCCCGTTATCATCAGAGGAAACATCATCTATATGAACTTGATCACATTCCTGTTAAAAACATTGGAAAAGTTATTTGTTTTCTAAATGATGCTTGTTATCATGTTTGAAGGTGTTCCCATCTTCTCATTTGATCGGACTACTGCCAGAAGATGGCAGCGTGTGCCCGTCCATCTCACTGCCTCGCTCTTGGTTTCTTCTATTGGGAAATGGCACCATTTCTACCCCAAAACATTTAAATCCAGAAGAGTTCCATAGAAAGGAGGGGTGAGAAAGTACACGGCATGAGGGTTTCTTTAGAGCAATTAAAAAAATTAATCTTAAAATTATCGATAAGAAATTATCTCGAATCTTTGTAATCATTTGAGTTCCCTTCCAGCCATTTCTGTTGTGCACACTTAAGCATGGCTAATCTGAAGATACACAAAACTTATTTGGTCGAACACCTCAGATGGTTACTATTATTTGTCATTTGTTGAGCGGCAACAGGGGGTCTTGCCTTCAGATTATGGTGCCCTGTGGAATTTCCACGACTTCCTGCTGGACCAGAACCATGAAAGAACCATGCTGGTGTTATTTTAAAGTCCTGACCTTTTGACACAGAAAAAGGGTAATAATCATAGAAACTGACATTTTCTTTTTGTCAAGTTTTTAAATTTTCAAATCAAAAAGACTACTTTTAAGTAAAAGGAAAATAATGAAGATTTATCATCTCAAATGTGCTACAAAATTCCAATCAAAATAAACTTTATGTAAGTATACCCACACAATTGACCTGATTTTAAGTTACTGTGTGCTCAGAACAAATGGGAACTTTTCTGGAAAAGGATTCAATCCTTCTTTGCTGTTCTGAGTCTCAGTCCATCTTCAAATAATCTGCAAAGTTCCAGAGCAATATTATAAGCTCTAAAGGTGAAATTTGGTGAAGGCATTTAAAATGTTTAGTTCTCAGAATAAATATATAATCAATAAAAATAAATTATTTATAATAAATAACAACAACATATTAACCTCAGCGTATGGTTTAACATTTTGGGCCTCCTTAGTCCCCCCTCAAAGTATTTTACTCATACTCACAGATTCTGACTATGTACATGGTGCTTAGCATTCAAAATTATTATTTTTTAAAATCATTAAATTTGAAAATACACCATACTAAACAAAGGTTTTTCAGCTACTATTTATATTCATTATTGGGCATGAAAGTATCTGACAGTCAAATATTTCATATCTAGTCTCCAGATTTCCACACAGAATGCATTTAATCCGGTTCCAGTTGAAAGGTTGAGTTGACTCAGGTTTCCTTTAATATATAAAATTCAGTGACTAGCCCAATCAGTACCTTTTGAGTATGTAACTTGAAAATCCAGGTAAGTTAAAAGTTCATATAATTTACAGAAATTATAGGTTTAGTAAGTTTTGAATAAATCTCCACCTACACATATGGGTCAAAAAATATAATCTGACTGGAAGTGCCCTGGAGTGCGGCATTTGGTTCACCAGGTTACATCCCCACTTACGGTACAATCTAGCATAGAATAATCACTCCACAATTCTTTCTTAAATAAATGGGAGAAGTCCAGACAAATGCTAATTCTTTACAGGATTACCACAATCATTTAAATTTTCTAACACAAAGTTATGATGATATAAAATAAAAGCATTCTAAATGGTGAGGAGATAAGAAGATATTTATGTGAAGAGTGGAAGGGAGAGAGAAGAGTACAGAGACTGCCGACGGAATGGCCTGGCCAGACAGCTATTTAGAAAAAGTCTTCCCCTCTTTGACCAAGTATTGGCTGAAAGGAATGCAGTCTAAACTGTAACCAAAGGAGGCATTATGCTTCCTGAAAAACATCCAGTAAAGGCATTGTAAGCAATGATGGTAACTGCTGGACTGGGCTTTAAGGAAAAGAGTGGAGAGATTTTACCCCTTAGCATAAGGGTTGGAAATAAAGTTTTTCTCCCAGAATATGGAGGCACCAAAGTAGTTCTAAATGATGAGATTATTTCTTATTTAGAGATGGTGACATACTTGGAAAGTCCATAGACTGAAATAAATCACTATTGAAATGGTGTCACATGAAGTTGCCCATTCCATTGAAGTTCTGAAATCTTTCCTCATGTAAATAACTTCTGTGTCTCTCTTTTATAATAAATTAGTGACATTCAAAAAAGTGGAGGAATCCTTGTAAATTTCCCTGGTAATCAGAAGTTATTTCTCTATTTAATACTCTCTCATTGTCATTTTTAGAGAAATTCCTCTGACATTAAGTATTAACTTGCATGATTAATTTGTACACAGGTTGCCCCAAAACTTATCTTTTACTCCTGAGGACAACAGTATATCACACTTACTGGACCAGAAGCTCCATGATTGAAGTTATATTTGAGGTTTTTCCAAATTTAACTTTTCTTTAAATTTATGCCTAGTTAACTATGCCTGTTGACTCTGGACGGTTGCCTGAGGATTACAATCCAGTGAAAGAAACCTGAACTTCCATTATTTACATTTTTAGAAAAAGCTAAATAATTGTTCTTCAATTATTTTTCACTCTGACAAACTCTTTCAAGAATCATTTTGACCAAAAAGTGAAATACTAAAAACACTATAATGTTTTGGCTTTAACAAATTTTAGTAGAACTCAAACATTTGAAAATATTCTAGAACTAACCTTAAATACTTTAATTTTGTTTTACAAGGTAACCAAAAAGTTGTCACTGATATTTATCAGTTATAATTCACAGCAGTCTTTTCTTACTTTTGCCATCTCAAACTTCCTGGAGACTTCTTTTCTGGAGGTTATTCTAACTGAAACAGCACTTTATTTAAACACACAGGTTTCTCTTGTTAGGGGAGGGTAGTGTGGGCATTTGCCTTCTCTGCAGTTGAGCGGGATGCAGTGAAGTGTCTATTGGGAGGATTTAAATTTGTATCTTTTAAGGAATTATGTGAGGAACAGCTGCTACTATATATGTTGAAGTATCTACTAAAAGATTTGAGTGTCAAATTTAGATGTTTAGGTTTTAAATAAAAGCACCCCGAGAGCTTAAATATTCAACATCAACAACGACAACATAATAAGCTAATGGTAGAGTTACTCTCTTGAGGAATTGTTTTTGTCAACAAGAGTAGAAATCATTTAATTCCAGTTATGGAGCCCAAGCCACTTTTTGGCTGTAAGAGGTTTATTGAAATAAAAAATTGTGTGAAAGTAAAACTGCCTTTCAAAGTCAGATGCAGAAGGATAGGGGGTTATGTATATAACTATACTGAATGCTTTTGAAAGCTATTGTTTTGATTTTATTAGTTTTAGTGCTTGTTTACTCAAGTCAGTAAAAAACATTTGTGTTTCCTTGGGCACTTTATATGGATGTGCAAGCATTTGCGTGGCATGCATGTGTAGTGACAGTTCAGTCAATTTATATGCAGTAACTCAATTATTTTATTGATTAAGTACAGTATTGTTGAATAGCTAAGTTCTGTGGTTTGAGTCAAATAAAATTCTTATCACATTCTAAAACACAACTAAAAAGCTATATACTCAGAGAAGAGAAAGTCAATACCAGTATTTTCTCAGGAACTACTTCTAACAAAGATCCTGCCAGGTATTTCTGAAATACATATAACATAATACCTGAACTAAAATAAATGTCTTTAAGTGCCATACATGACTACAACATGTTTTTGATATACCAATATTCATTTGAAACTTGCTAAAGTTAGTTACAAATTCATTATATGCTATTTTCACCTTCTCACTTTAGCATTCTTTTAAAAGTTGGGTAGTAAATTTATTCCACCTGGCTTCTAATGTGCCAGTAAAAAAGCTAAAAGTTCATTTATTCTACTTATTTCCAGTAAAAAATAATTAACCAAATGAAATAAGAACTTTTAGTTGGATACTACCACATAAAATTTCTTTTTTCTTTTTACACCTTTGAAAAGACTAATAATATTAAGATCCTCTTTACAATGAAACTCATCCATACTGATCAACAGAAAAACTAACCCCAAAAGTTATTGCTGTATGTAAAAAATTCAAGTTCTGGAAAGGTTAAGGTGTTTGTTATTATCAGGTATATATAAAATCATTCTGTGTTCATAAGTAGCAGGATCAATTTAAATCAGGTTTTAGAGAGGTGATTATTGTTTGTTATCTAAAACTGAAAGCTTGCCTAGTAATATTGATCTTTCATACTGTCCATTGTAGAAAAAAAAAGAATGCCTCTTTAATCAGACAGTAATTGTATTATTCAGTAAAAACACTGACTCACTATAAAGAAAAACAACAACAACAGCAGCAAAATGTTATTACACAGATTTCAGCATACACATTTATGGAATGTACTGAACCACTCATTTTTACTCTCATGTCTCAAATATAACTCAAACTGGATTTAAGACCTTGTCATTAGAAAAAAAAAACAAAAATTTTCTAACTGGTGTGTTGGTGGGAGAGTAAATTAGTTCAACCGTTGTGGAAGAAAATGTGACGATTACTCAAGGATCTAGAACTAGGAATACCATTTGACCCAGCAATTCCATTACTGGGTATATACCCAAAGGATTATAAATCATTCTACTATAAAGACACATGCACATGTATGTTTACTGCAGCACTGTTCACAATAGCAAAGACTTGGAACCAACCCAAATGCCCATCAGTGATAGACTGGATAAAGAAAATGTGGCACATATGCACCATGGAATACTATGCAGCCATAAAAAAGAATGAGTTCATGTCCTTTGTAGGGACATGGATGCAGCTGGAAATCATTCTCAGCAAACTAACTTAGGAACAGAAAACCAAACACCGCATGTTCTCACTAATAAGTGAGAGCTAAACAATGAGAACACATGGACACAGGGAGGGGAACACCACACACTGGGGCCTGTTGGGGGATGGAGGACTAGGAGAGGGATAACATCAGGAGAAATACCTAATGTAGATGATGGGTTGATGGGTGCAGCAGATGACGGGTTGACGGGTGCAGCAAACCACCATGGCATGTATATACCTACATAACAAACCTGCACGTTCTGCACATGTGCTCCAGAACTTAAAAGTACTTTTTTAAAAAGTTATTTAAGTAACTCAATAACTTGGCTTTTCTTTCTCACACACTTGAAAAATTTTCAGCATAGGATGGGTCAGAAGTATGTGCTCTGGAACTAGGCAAATCTGCTTCAAATTCCAGTTCTACCACTTAGATAGCAGGTAACTTTAGATGTGATTTGTATGTTGTGGACCATAGAGTTTCTCCCTTGCATAAATAATGTGATAAACACATTTACTTCAATACACTGTTAAGTAATTAATGGAAAGTTCAACATAAAATATCTAGAACAAGGTAGGGGTTCAGTAGTAGTAATCTCCCTCTCAATTCATCATATGATTATAGACAAAAAATTTTATTTAATTATGAAACTATGAGATAAAAAATAAATTTAAACATGCCATCTGAAAAAAAATGAAAGAGAAATCTCTATTTCAGCACAGTTACGCTTGACTGAGAAGTACTTCTGCCAAGAACCTGAACTACTTAGTTATTTCAAATTGTATTATCTGAATGTCTAATAACCTAGGACACAGATGGCATACCTTATTGCAGTACATGTTCAACTACTCTGAGGCTATTTTTCCTTGGGTCATTTCATTTTGCTGTTGTTTTTATTTTCTTTTTCCCTTATTTGCCATTTAGACACTGTCTTGCCATTTGAGGTTGAAAACGGAAACATAATTTTTAAAATGAGAAAATAAATGCATTTAAATGCATCAAACATGCTTAAATAGTTCTAGCACTGTTTTATCCAGAAGGGAAAGAAATGAGGAATGATAATGTTAGCTAAAGTTAGGCTTCAGATTATCCACAAAATTAAATGATCTATGCTATCACCACGAATAGTGTCTGTGAATATTGTTTAGTGATTAACCTAAATAGGCTCCTGGTTAATAATCTGGAAGAGCTAATGCTGATTCCAAAGGTGCCAAGCCTCTTGCGGCTGAAACACTAAAAGAACCAAGAGTCACGTACAGCTGTGGACAGTGAGGACAGCAAAGCCAACAGTCTCCTCTTTGGAGACATTTTTGTTCTACACATATATTATTCACGAACACAAATTAACTTTCTGCTTATATTTGTAAATCAAACTTTTCCTCTTGACAAGAACTTTACGCTTCTCTTGAGCTAAATTTTTATCTTTCTGTTTTCTCGAGGTTATCTGCAGATATAAAAACCATCTAAGAGGTCTGCTGTTGGACAAAACTATTTGTACCTGGTACAATTCTTACCTCTAAATCATTAAAAAACAAATGAGTGTCAGCAAGATTAAAAATCATTTCTTCCATGCGGAGTCCAAGGGTTACAGCCATGGGGGGATCCTGTAAAGAAAATGTGCACATAATCAGGTAAAATTTCAGTAAGCACTTATTATTAAAAATATTTTAAGCACATATTGCTGTGGTGGAAGAGAGAGGAGACTGCATGGGTTTTTACTGAAGATTCAAAAGATTTCTCAGTCATCCGGAAAGGTGACTTTCCAGAAGGTTCAGATATACCAAACGCACAGGCATACCTGGGAATTCAGACATACGTAATGATGACACAGCATACATTTTCACACAAAGCTGTACGTTCAGGAGGGAAGGAGGAAGGGAGCCATTCAGTTCATATGACCCAGTTTACATATAATCTATGGAAAGTATTCTGGAGAAAGGTATTTGGATGGGGTGCTGAAGAATGGAGTAAACTCGCTAAAAAGAAAGGGTGTCTTTTTAAGAATAATGACAAATAATGAGAATTAAAAGACAGAGAAAAATAGGTCAACTGGGTATTTATAAGACTTGAGCAGAGAATGTTATCTGGAGGTGAAACAGGAAGAGCTGGCAGAGGATGGTGTAACCATCACTTAATTTTTGATTGCATTTTTATCAACAAGGTAAGAGGAATCTCCCTATCCAAACATGTGTAGAGTTTAGTCTAACCTGCATTTGACTAAGGTTGAAGAAGTGAGGGGTGAGAATAGCTAAAAGAACATTAATTCTCTAAGCGTAATCCAGGTACAAAATATATGCTTTGGGAAGTTAATGAAAGTGATGGGGTCAGTAAAGAGTTAAAATGACTCAACTTTTGTTTACAGAAACCAAGATATTAAACAGCAGCAAGGAGTCGAAAATCAAGACCAGAGTTGTTACTTTAGCATAATTAACTGCAGCTGAAGGCCTAGCATCAAGCGATATAAGACTAAAAAGTAATGAGCATTTGGGGATAGGGATTGGAATAGAGAAGTAATTCATTCTCAAACATTGTGTTTAAAATTATCAAAGTTGGAATGATGTCTAAAGAAGAACTGCTCATAGATGCAACTCAGAAGATATGGGAAAGAAAAAACCTGGAAGGGACAAACCCTTAAAATCTGAGACCAGAGGGGTGTTAGCAGGGAGAAGAATAAGGTTTTGAATAAAGCTGACAAGTCCAGAAGGATACTATTGGTTTTGGCTGGGAAGTTATTTTGGAAGACCTCAGAGGGTGATTTGGGTTGAGTGGCTGGGCCAGGAGCCAGACTGCAGGGATTTGAGAAGAGAGAGCCGAAATTGTGTTTTCAACATTCTAATAGTTGGCATTTCAAGAAATGTATCTCAACTTGGGGAAATGTAACACAAACTTTACTCAATTTATGATAAGAACATGCAACCCAGGTCAGGCCAAGCAGTATTCATCTATACCCTGAACTGATTCCATCTGCAAGGAGAAACCATTCTTCATGCCACATCTCCACTATGATAACCCATTTTATTCCTATATTTCCTTTCATCATATTTTGAGGGGGGAGGCCTAAAGTGTAAACATATTTGAGATGTCATCCTGTGTTCTGTAGCCATTAAAACCTGGAGAATAGGAATTATATGCTAAGAAAAAGGCACTGAGTGCTAAGGGGTCATTGGGGTATGAGAGCTAAACTAAGACTCGATGTGAGTGAAGATAGAGATAAGAAAATAATATGTTGGATTTCAACATAATTTTCTAATTGTTTATATCTCCTCATTTAGAGATTTATGTGGATTTCATAGCCAGAGATTCTCATTTCTCAGTAATGGATGCTGACTCCACATATCTGATGGCAACCTGGTATTCTGTCATCTGGTAGCTTGACTGTGCTGCTGGATTCATCTGTCTTCCAGTGACAGAACCATTTGGGACTATATACCCAAAGATCAAATCAGTTCTGTTTTAGCCAACAAATATTCATTCAAAACAAGAATAAAATTATTAGTAAGTAGGCCAGGCACAGTGGCTCATGTCTATGATCCCAGCACTTTGGGAGGCTGAGGCAGGCAGACCATTTGAGGTCAGGAGTTCAAGACCAGCCTGGCCAACATGGTAAAACCCTGCTTCTACTAAAAATACAAAAATTAGCTGGGCACAGGGGTGCGTGCCTGTAATCCCAGCTACTCGGGATGCTGAGGCACGAGAATCCCTTGAACCCGGGAGGCGGAGGTTGCAGTGAGCCAAGATCATGCCACTGTACTCCAGCTTGGGTGACAGAGTGAAACTGTATCTCAAAAGAAAAAAAAAAAAAAATGTTAATAAGTGCCAGTTTGTGTCTCAAGGGGTTTCAGAGCTCAGAAGGGCCCTTTGCTCTGTTTCCTTCAAGGATACAATTCTTTTTTCTTTCCTTTTTTTGTTGTTGTTGATCATGTTTTTGTTGAAATAAAATCTCTACAGGTGGTATAAGTTTAAAAAACACATTTTGTCTTTTTTGGTTGAAAAATTCCTATTATTAATCTCTGTATTTTTGGCAGGGTTGGGGGGAACTAGGCATTAAATAGGCTGAGGACATTTTATGAAACTATTCTGCCTAGTCATGGAACTATGAACAAAGTCTACAGAAATATCAGGAAAAATCAAATGTAATTACAGCATGAAAACATATAATTCCATTAGTGACGCTCTGTGCTTTTGAGGAATGTTCACTGATGCAAGACAATAAAAGTGAGCTCCACACTACTCTGTTATGTTTCTGATGATTACTGCCCTAAAGATATATATTTCAGATAGCAGTTCAGAAGTATCTGATTTAAAAGGTTTTCCTTCTGGAGACCAGGTTGGTTAGGCTCTTATCCTATGATTTGCCAATTTTTCTTTTTAAGTTTTGAATACAATTATTGTTTCTTCACTTCATTCTTCACATTCTTTGCATTTGCAGATCAGATTTATGGGGATGGGAGAAAACATACTGTTCCTTTTGATTGTTACTTTGATCAATTCCATGCTTCTGAAGTACGTAACTCTCTGTGCTACCCAAACAGTGACAGGAAAATCCATGAAGAATGCATTTTGTACATCTGATAAGCATGCAAACAAGTATAATTTTAAAAAAAAGCAAAATGCAAGAATCTGCTAGCAAGCAAGCATGGCATGTGGTATGATAAAAACTGCAGTTGAGCACCCCACTGGAATGCAACCCCACGGCACTAGGAGGGCTGGTCATTTGTTTTTCAAGCTGTGGCGGTTCCACATCACACACTCTATGAGAGCCAGGACTTAGTAAGCATTTTGGCAAAATATCATTTGTAACTGGGAAAGTTTAGGTTTGTGGTTTGCTGGAGTGTGAACTAGCTGTGTTTTACTAAGGTTTCCAGAGAGCAAGGCCTATTGAAAGAGAGATGTTTCATCAGCCATGCCAAAGGCTTGGCACAGATGGGCCGGGGATAGTCATGCCATCAGCCAAGGAAAACCATGCCTGTAAGAGGTGATGATCTTGTTTCTAAGAGAATGTCTGGGGCAGGCTTACTTTCAAATATCTAATTTTACTTTTTGTTTTTTTCCAACTTACTAAGTCACCAGGACAGCTAATTCTAAGTGAGCAGATTACAGCACTGCATTTTTCCAGCTAAAGGACTCACAGATCCAAGAATCCAAGAAAGATGACTGGACATTTGGTGGGTGTAGCCTTAGCAATGCTGGGCACCCTCCATCTTGCCAAACTGCTGTGAAGGAGCTGCCAGCACCTGCAATTGCACTGTTTTATCAGGCATTTGAGAATGAAACATACTTTTGGATTGAACTCAAGTTTTATACAGAGATGTTTGCTCATTTTCATTAGATGTTTGTAGAATTATGGGCACCTTATGAATCAAGAGTTGCTTTTTTTTTATTTGCATTTAAGTGTAGTGAGTGTTGAGTTTAGGGTCTAAAATGAGGTGATAGCAAAAACTTGGATAGAGGAAAAAAGTGGGATAATAAAGGCACTAACAGGGTTTTGTGGAAGTTCTGATATATATTATACATATTATAAAAGTTCCAAAAGGTTCAAAGTGTCTACAACGGAGTTTAATAGGAGGAAAATTGAACTACTGCCAATTTATTCTGTGTACTGCTGTATCAAAATACTGAAACTATTCCCCAGACATTTTACTGAAAAGAGACAGAGAGAGAGAGACAGAGAAGAGGAAGATGAAGAAAATAAATAGCTCTTGGCCTTTAAATGTGTGGTTCTAAGCCAGATGTTACCAGTGTATAATCAAGGCAGGATCCAGTACAGCACTTCTCTAAATCAAAATACTAACGCCTATTAGCCATGTGAACACAGAGCATAAATTGGAGCCAGACTGTCTGTCTATGGGCCTCTGCCCTGCACTGGGCCATCAGCTGGAATTCCTCCTCTAGGGACACACTGCAAAAATATCTCTGGAGAGGCAACAATTATGTATTTTTAAAGAAACTAAGGACTTTTTTTTTCTTTTAAAGACATCAACCTCGTGAAAGTTTTTTTTATTTTTTATTTTGGGACTCGTAGCACATGTGTAGACATGGGCACACAGAGATAGAAGATATGCAAGTTCATCACGGAAGAAAGAAGGCAGACCAGCTCTCATGAACCTGGTGGAAAAAGTTACTGGATTTTTTAGAATACATATACTCTTTAAATCATAAGAAATAAAATGAAATTCAGTCACAAATCAGAAGGGAAATTTTACAATTGTGATACTTGTCTACGATGGATAGGTGGTGGGCTTACAAGTTCTTAGGAGGAACAGGGGAATGGTTTCAGGAACATTCATTTACTCATCACATATTTATTGAGTGACTATTATGTATTAGAGACGTTCAAATTCTAAGCAGAGAGCAGATAACCAAAAAAGCAAAGCCCCTACCTTTATGGGGTTTATATTATTACTGGATGAGCTACCCGATAAACAGACAAGAAAACAAGGGAATATCAGGTGGTGATAAAGCTATGAAAGAAAAACCAGGATAAGCAGATATAGAAGTGATGAGGATGAGCGGATAGGGCTAATTTAAAGCAAATTCAGAGAAGGCCCCTTTCAGGAGGCAATGGCAGAGACAGAAACAGTGGCCTGACAAAGGCAAGGGAGCG